GTGAGTTGTGTGAATTGTGACTCGTACATGTAGATGATAGCATTAAATCCTGTAGATTCTGTGTAAGTTCCCTTGATTCCGAAATCACAGTCAGCATTTCAGTCAGGGATGGAACAGAACTCTCGGCATTGTTTACATCGGCCATTGGGTCTTGTGAGTGAAACTGTTCATCTGTACCTGTTAACCCGTGGTTAAGGCTTTCGTTGTTCGTGTCATCCATAGAGGGAATTGCCAATAAATGACAGAGACTATTATCTGCTGGTTCTTATGTTGATAGCAGCCAAGAAAGGGAAGCTGTATCGTTCGGAAGCCGGAAGAGCAAATGTAAAACAATAAAAATGCAACAGCGTCGCACTAGCAGACTGGGAACGAGTTTGCGCAAACGCATAATTCAAGAAAGCGGTATCCTTAACCATTAATTTACCTCGTCATGTAAGAACTAACATAGCATTTGCACATCCATCGGAGACTCAGGGGCATCTAGTCGGGGCAATGCGATATTTTAAGGCGATGCGATATCTTCGGGCGAAAATTTACATCAAGAGCGGGAGAGCTACTCCTGATGTAAACTTTCGCCCGAAAATATCGCTTGGTCTCCGAGATGCTCTTATTCTGACCTATTCTTCTCTCCATTATATTCGTCAAAATAGAAGTGGTCGAGGTTCAACCTGAGGTAAATCAAACAATATGAGGCCGTCAAAACAGTAACAAAATCCACAAGTGCGAGAGCAAGAGAAGCACAAGTTAGCTCAAATAGTCTTTGACTTCAGGAAAAACTTGTGGTTTTTGCTTCCTTGTTAGAGTAAACATTCCGCGCCTTTTGACGTGGTTCCTCTTTATGTGAGTTCATACACACATTTTTGAGAGTTAAGTGTCTTGCCCAAGAAAACACAACACAATGTCCCCGGCGAGGGCTCGATCCCGAACCACGCGATCCGGAGTCGAGGGCACTAAACATGACGCCACACACTGTTATTGCGAATGAAATACATGGAGAAATGTTAGCTTTATTGAGCACATTACACAGCGAATTAAGCTCTTCATTTCATGTCTTGCTTACGCGCGTGGTCATAGATCTATTGAAATACCATAGATCTATGAGCGCGCGCGTAACCAAGACATAAAATGAAGAGCTTAGTTCGCTGTGTAATGTGCTCAATAAAGCTAACATTTCTCCATGTATTTCATTCGCAATAACAGTGTGTGGCCTCATGGTTGGTGCCCGCGACTCCGGATCGAGTGGTTCGAGTTCGAGCCCTCGCCGGGGACATTGTGTTGTGTTCTTGGGCAAGACACTTAACTCTCTCAGTACCTCATTCCACCCAAGTGTATAAATGAGTACCGGCGAATTCAATGCTGGGGGATAACCCTGCGATGGACCAGCATCCCATGCAGGGAAGAGTAGAAATACTCCTAGCCGTTTCATTGTGAGCTAACCGGCTCACTTGGCTCGTATCAAGGCAAGATAAAAGTAAGAATAAAACCAAGGTGGCTTTCCAGACTCTTTCCCGCGCTTTAAACGGGCCCTTTCGTTCTTATTTTCTCACGTGCTGTGATTGGTTCGTTCAGGCATCCATCCATGTGCCGTAACTTTAAGGGAATTTAATTAAATGAAGCTTTAACTAGGTAAAAGTTTTCTTCCTTGTTCTATAACCTTCACGTTTCATGTTTCTAGAGATATAAAGCACTCTCTTCCACACCAGGGCCAAGACAATGGGATATGCAACTTAATAATGGCTCTATTTCGAATTATAACTAATTAAAATATTTTCTTTATTAATTAGCATTCGACGTTGAAAATGACAATGTCGTGCAATACAAAAAATACAAGCAGCTCTTCATCTCTAATAATCAATACAACATTACATTTTTGAAAAAAAAAAAAAATCACTTTTCCAAGTGAAATGAGATTTTTATTTAACTAGCAAAAATCACAAAACTACTGCGACAATAATTACTAAAATTTATATAAAGATAAGATCAACTTTATAATGCCTACGATCAAGTTAGTCAACGAGCAAAAGATTTAGCTGCATGTTCGAATAACAGCATACAGCTCTCTGAAACTCGCTAGTGATATGTTGCAATTTATCTTAAAATTTTTGCAAAGGGATTCCTGAGTAATGGTCATATTGCAAGCTATTTTGTCACTAGATTGTGCGTACTGAAAATTGTTTTTAACCATGTAGCCTAGCAAATCCAAGTTTAGATAAACTCGGTCATTTATCCAAGAGATTCACTGCATGTAGTAACAAATGTCTTGCCATTCCATGTGCTCTTGAACTGTTCTGGAAGCGCGTATTCCGCCTAATATAACAGGAGAAAAAAAAAATAGCCACTTACATAGGCATACATGTACGACTATTGACATTAGCGACGTTAAATCACCACCAACAACGGCAATGACAACAACAGTGACAACAAAGATCACGAAATAAAGAGGTTTCATTAAAAAAAAAAAAAAGAGACAAAATGGGAATCTGCTCAAAAATAGGATCTGGACACCCTGCATTGAGTGTCGACCATCACACATCAAAAACTGGGAACTGAATGTCAAGCGCCGAGTTATAGTGGGAGACTGAAGTTTACACAGACCTCCACAGAGTACCGCAATTTACATATACACGAGAGAAGCCCGCGTGGCAAAAACCAAGGCAGTGCTTGAATTAGGGTTTGAGTCATCAGTAGCCTTGTTTTCCACAACCGTAGCAAACTAGTTATTTTGTAGGTGAATTACATCAACAACAGGCGATTATTTTCGCCCGTAACATCAAGGGAAAACTAAGCATACTCAGGCGTAGCGGGTGGTACTGGTTTAGGGCCCTTAAAAACAACCTTGCATAGCATCAGTGACTGGATGCCATATGACTCACATTCCGATTGAAATTTCTGCGACTTACCAAGTCCTGTGAGCCAGGTTTAGGAATCGAAATGTTCATCTCAGATGACTTTGCTGTCACTATCTCTGTTGAGCCAATACCATTTGGAAACACCACTTGACAACCATCAGTCTTGTCAATTGAAACAGTTGGAACACTTCCATCAATCTACACAATACCACAAAATATCAGTCAAGTATAGCGAAACGGGTTACCAAATATCTAACTGCCCTTTGTCAAAGTTCTTTTTTTTTCTTCTTCTTTCAAATATTACATTTACAACTAAAGGTATTTTTTTTTCTTGACATCTTTTTTTCTTTACAACTATAAATTTCCCCACAATTCTGTTAAAAATTCCTCCCCTCCCTGAAAATAAACCACCAAATTGCAGATAGAAATATCTCTCTATAACCACCAATACCTGGAATATGTGAGTATAGGTTAATAATCATTAATTTTAGATTAAGATCTTCATGAACAACATGATTTCTTTTAGTACATGTACTGAGTCACACCACCATTAATTGAGTGGCCACCCATGGGGGAATTGGAGGTGTAATGGGGGCTTGTTAAGGATTAGAATGAGGCTTTAGCTAGTAAAAAACAAATACAAACATGCTTTAAGGCAGCACGAAATAACATGAAGACACCATTTATTTTAAATGCCTGTCTGAATGCTTTTCATCAGTGGTCACTTTCAATTTCGGACTCCTATCTGTCATGACCACTTCCAAAACAAAGCCAGTACGTGTATTAAATTTTGTGTGGCCTCTTAAAAGGGGTAAGGACAAATACAAACTGTAGTCTGTTTTTTGTTTGTTTGTTTGTTTTTTTGGGAGGGGAAACACATTTAACATACATTAAATGCCAGGAGAAACAAAAAAAGCCATAACAGTTAAATCAATGACAGAATATCCACTAACTGCTTGTACCTGACACTCCATACTCTGGCAGTTGATAAACTCAACAGTGCCAATAGCTCCTTTGAGAACCACTGCTGTTTTCTTACAGCTATCTAAGCAGAAAAAGAACATTGAATGCTTGAAATCATTCAAAGGCAATCTGTAGGCAAGTTTATATTTTTAAGGCTAACTGACAACTTACAGCGTACCAGTGTACAGGCATGCTTTCTTTTCTTCTTCGAATGTGTCTTTTGTCCAAAGACAAAAGTAGTGCATCTGGTTGTATCCAACTTTTTGTCGTAGTGACTTGTTTATGCATTTTACCGCTTAACATTGATATACAAAAATGGCCTATTGTGGAACAATTGAGTCTTACAAATGAACATGTGGACTGGAACTAGCTTGCAATTGAGGCTCATGCTCCCCGCATTAGCCTCAGTTTCAGGCTAGTTCCAGTCCAATCCTGAGAATAAGAATAAGGGTTATTGATGTAAGTCTCACAGTACATGTCCAGTATTGTGCGGGGAAGCACTTGTAACTGTCATTTTCCATGTTTTAGCCCGTTAGTTTGTCAGTAGTTATTGTTGTTTAAAAATTCAACATGTTTGGAAATTATCCTTAAAGATATACTCATTTCCTTTAACGTCAGTGAATCTCATTATCATCTTTGAGCTTCACCTTCAGCCTGTAATTGTTAATTAAATAACTTATGAAAACAAATTTATTATGAACATTTAAATAATACCGTCCTGTATAGCTAATATTGTCAGTACTATGATTAACGATAAAAAGAAAAGTTACATGCACTAACCTACGACCATGGAGTTGATTTTCCCCTTGACTTGAATTGTACTCTTGTTACACTTATAAATGTAAACTGTTTGAGATGTTTCTGGCTCAGAGATAACCAGGTTTCGGTTGTCTTCTTGAAATTCCTGTGACAATAACACAAAATTGATACGAAATACAGAAATCGTTTGCATGATAAGTCAAAATAATAACAACCTTACCAAAAATTAATAACTCCTTCATTACCGCATGTAGCACATGTACTGGCAAATACACAATGATCACGCAATGGTATATACAGTTGAACCCCGCTAATTCGAACTCAGTTTACTTGGAATTCCCTATCATTTCAAACTCAAAACCATTTCCCTTGGAATTGCTATTCAGTCATTTACTATTGGCTATTTTGAACTCCCGCTATTTCAAACTTTTTTTGTTTTCCCAGAGAGTTCGAAATAGCGGGATTCAACTGTACATAATACTGGTACCAGTCAACTTTCTCCAAAACAAACAACATCTGGACAGCCATCAAACTCTTGTCTCAACTTAAGGTACAGTAGAGTAACTGTACCCTGATGAAGCTAACTCGACTACCACACATTCTGGCATTCTGGGAATACAAGAGGCAAGAGGAGAGAGTATAGAGAATAGGAGGTCGGGGGAGGGGGAGCCAGAAACCAATGCCAGCAGACTGCATGCGGAGCTGTCACTAAGTGCTGGCTGGCTGGATTTTGGGGAAGGGGGGGCCTACTGAAGGTGATTCAAAACTTAATGGCTGCCCTGCATAAGTACTTTTATGGGGTGGTGTTTGTTATGTTGTACAAACTGGACATGTATGTACATGTAGGTGACACCCCATCATGAGACCAATCATGCATTAATGGTCTGAAAACTTAAATTTGAGATCATGGGGTGCTTGAGTAGTATTTCTCTGACTCTAGAATGTGCCATTTACCAAACCTTGAAAAATTGGGTTCAGCTGGCAACACAGTGCAGTGTTAACAGTTAAGCTAAAATTGATGTTTTTAAAACTAAATTATTGCACATCAAAACAATTACCACAATCCATTTTTTTCCTTGTAGTTCAAACACTGGAGGTTTCTTCACAGGAGCAGCTGCCTTTGGTGCACCTCCACCAGAAGGTTTTGGCTTATCAGGAACTGGACCTGTCTTTCTCAAATCTTTATTTTTATGAGTCTTCTGGTCATCCCGTACCTTCCGTAAACCTACGTATGTGGAGGAGTAAAAGAGAGCTTAAGTGGTGTTGAATGTTTTATTTTTAAAGCTATTGTAGGGCTGGTTGATGAACGGATATGCAAGCATAAGCACAAGGCAGCATAAACATGACAGTGTTCAGGGCTGTAGCTAGTAACAGTGGGCAGACCAAGGCACTTGCCTTGATCATTTTGTTTGTGTGATCATCAACACCCTCAATACCTAGGAAGAGAATTTTAACCATGGACATTGCTTCAGTCATAATTTTTTTCTGGCCCTGGTGTTTCAAGTGAGATGAGCATACAACCATGCATTAAACACAAGTTGAAATGCACAGGGCCAGTGCCTTTTCAACTTAATTATAGCAATACAATTAATTATTCTACTGTTAGTAAGTTATGTTCTTTCTACATTGTAATCAATAATTCATATACAAAATAATAATAATAATAATAATAATAATAATAATAA